CCATCAAATTGCAGCAATCCACACCAGCTCACAATGTCAAACATCTTTCTCTTCATTTGGTCAGGTTCTGGTCAGTTCATCCCTAGCCATCCAGGCTAGATCACAATGGGTAGCAGCTTTAGGCTTGAGAGGTCACACACACCTCCCGGCACTTCAGACAGCCCCTTCACACTCTCTCATTGCCAGCCACCTTGGGCTAGGTCAACAGGTTCCACTCTTAAACTTAGGAGTCTACACACAACTCCCTTTACTTCTGACCAGCCAGCCCTTCTTCTCACTCTCATCCCTAGCCCGCGTGGGCTGGGTCAGCAGGTGTCAGTGGAACATGTCCAAACTCACCCCATCTCATCATTGCTGCACTTCCCCCACTTCTACTCATTGAGTGACCCCAGGTGGTCACCACAAGTGAGCAGACAAAACTGTCTACTTGCCAGCTCTCTTTAACTTCTAGTCCTGGAAGAGGCTTCTTTCCTGTGGGCTATGACTTTTCCTGCCTTGATGCTCCAACAGCAAACCACTTGCTCAAAATTCAGAAAGCAAATTAACAGCCACATTTTTTCTGTCAGTTCTTCCTTCAAACGCAAATCATCTGGTTTCTCAGCAGTTCTGAGTGGTTCTGCATGTCTTTTGAAATGCAGAATCTGGGTGGGACTCAAAGTTTTTGGCCCAAGCTTCCAGTATACACAGGGCTACTGCATTGAACAGCCTGTTGTTTCCCTTGGGCGAATCCTGGTTCCCCTTTTAGCATATTCAGTTAAGTATTGGCTGAAGGAGGAGTTACAGGCTCTCTGTAATCTATAATACCCAGTGTTCATTTCTACCATACATTTAGGTCTCCTTTACAACACAAGGTAGGAGAAACATTCAGAATCCATAGTATATTCAGTTAAACACATAATCCTAAACACATAACCCTTTTTTAACATATTTCAGTTTCATGTTTTCCAAACCTTAACTATCTTCCCGTTCGTATGCATAAGGCCTTTGGCCTTTGGCTGAGTGGAACCAGTAGACCCTGGCCCTCTATCAGTCATCCTGCTCACCTGGCCTGGCTTTGCCCCAGGCCACTTCAGCTGCAGCTTTTCAGCCATTACAGGTAACAACAACCAAAGTAACCATCCAAGAATCAAAAGTTTCACTTCCCAAGCCCCTTTGTTCTTTCTCTTACAAAGTTCCATGCTTCTTTCTATGAGTCGGGAGCCATTGCAGAGAATCCTGCTTCTGATGCCAACTGTGAGAATGGCTTAGGGGAGTTGTCTGACCTCCTCCAACCCCACAAGGGGAAAAGAGAACCAAGATCAGCAGTGCAAGGCTGACTCCCATGAGGTAGAAGCCAGACAAGCCTCCTCTCTGCCATCTTTAGTAATTCCGACACCAACCGTCCCTCCCACAGCACTCTCGACTGTATTCGATAATTCATTGCAGGGCCACACAAAACTCACAGACCATGCTCACAATTATGGGGTTTATTAGGAAGTAACAGTTAAAATTCAGGCTCAGGAACACTCAGGATACAGTTCTTCCATCAGGATAGCCTCTCCACAGCTGTGCTCACAGGCATGCCTCTCCCTGGCCCTCAGTCTCTGCCCAGAGGCACTCAGCTTTCTCTGTCCCTGAGACAGGACACCTACCACGTAGTCTCCTGCTACCGAGTGTGTTCTTCCCTGGTGGTGGGCTCCTCCCCTCTGCCCTGCAATTGGCTCTCTTTTAAGGCAAAGCTGACCAATCCCCTTGGTAGGCCACAGTTACCCCATCACGCCAAAAACCAAAAACCCAAACCCGTTGCCATTGAGTCAGTTCTGACTCATAGCGACTCTGTAGGACAGAGTAGAACTGCCCCATAGGGTTTCCAAGGAGTGCCTGATAGATTTGAAGTGCCGACATTTTGGTTAGCAGCCAAACTCTTAACTACTACCCCACCAGAGTTTCCCCCTATCACGCAGTCCGTCTAATCACCTAGGTGGGAGTTATAAGACCACGGCTAGAAAGGCCACGCACAAAAGTAATTAATCCACCAGACACCATCTCGTTGATGGTCTTCCTCTTTTTTGCTGATCCTCTACTTTACCAAGCATGATGTCCTTCTACAGGCACTGGTCTCTCCTGATAACATGTCCAAAGTACGTGAGATGAAGTCTCACCATCCTCAATTGTAAGGAGCATTCTGGTTGTATTTCTTCTAAGATTTATTTGTTCTTCTCGCTGTCCATGGTATATTCAATATTTTTCACCAACACCATAATTCAAAGACGTCAGTTCTTCTTGGTCTTCCTTATTCATTGTCCAGCTTTCCCATGCATCTGAGGTGACTGAAAATACCATGGCCTGAGTCAGGTGCACCTTAGTCCTCAAAGTGACATCTTTGCCTTTTAACACTTTAAAGAGGTCTTTTGCAGGACATTTGCCCAGTGCAAATAGTCGTTTG